TACACCCCCTATTATTGTAGCGGTAACACGCATATGAAATTGACACCGAAAACGGGTACCCCTTTGTGTAAATCGATCACAATTCGATTATGATTGTGAAATGCCCATCGCAAACAAACAAGAAATTATGAAAGAACAAGAAATTTTGGTTGAAACTACCTCTGAATGAAATAAAATCTTAAATTGAAGTTGACCAGATAAAAAGATATACAAATTAATATGAATTAGAAGAGATTAAGGAAAACAGAGACCTTTTGCAGAATAATAATATAGCAGACAATGAAATAGAAAATTGATATAAAAAAATAACTTTTAGTTACGTGAATATCAAAAAAGAATAAAACAATTAACCAATATATGCAAGACTTTTAAATGAAGCATTCCAAAGAGAACTCGCAGAGTGAGTATTCACAACACTTATCTATCGCCTGTCGCAAAATTAGCTATGATTTTACGAAACATATATACATATTCATATTTAGGTATAAATGTCGATAGTGAGACTGGACCCCCCCCAGAGGGTACTCGAAACGGGTTTTACCATGTAGGCTGGCCTCGTTTAAGCCTGTTCTTTTCAGGATGGATGCGGGATCGGTGATCAGAGTTTGAAGCTTAAGTTTGCATTTCCCCTGCGCTAAAAAAAATGTCTGAATATCGCTATAATAAAATCACTCTTTTCCGTTTTACACAAAAACCATAACGTGAACTCTTTTACTCAACTTATTTTATAAAAGTATCAAAACTAGTCGATGCTGTGAAACACTGCAAATAATTATTAAAAGAAATCTCGGTATCGGGCTTAAATTTAAAACTATCAATTAAATGAAAGAGCCTACAGTAATGTTTTCAAAATTTTAGAAAATTTTCGTTAACGAACCAAAAACAAATTACTGAATGTGATCTAAACACATTTATCCAGATCTCTTTCTTTTGGATTTCTTCTATATTCATGTAAATACTTCGCCACCGAGCGCCAGCTGTTACCGTTCTTATATAAGTTTTTCCTTCCTTTTGATATTCATGGCTCATATGGATTTTTTTCTTTATATTATTTTTATTCAATGATTGATCTTCTTTTTGATGTTTGGTCGAAAGATTGTTGTCAACTTTTGATATGTTAAGAGAAGATAAGATGCTTATCGAACAAAAATTGTCATTATTTAAAAGTTATATGCTGAGAAGCGAGTTTTGGCTGAGAAATATAACGAAGGTTGTTATTTTTTCTCCTTATCGTTAATTTAGTTGAGAAAAAATGGAGAAGCTGCTGATTCCCAATAACTAAATATGATTGGTAACTTAAATAAAGAATCTCAGAAAATTATAGGACATTGATTATATTTTAACAGTGAATATGAATCAACAAAGATTGACCCCATCTATCTAAATACAGATATGAGTATATCTATTTTATCCAATCCTATATTTAAAAGTATTTTTTATAATTTTCTAAGTCATAAAACTGGTTTCTAACTTTGATATCATAATTATTTCATTTTATATGTACCAACCTTAATCAAGAGAACGTCATTACCCCAAAAATATTTAGATTCCTCATGAATCACATGATTCAATAAACAAAAAGGTAATCGATTGATCGCTGTATTCAATAATAAAAAAACAACTTTTAAGCCAGATCTGTCGAATTCACGTAATAAAACTAGTAACGATATCGCAGCTTCGAGTTTTTGGTCGTTTAACTAATTTTTGAACAAAAGTTCGCTCAATGGTATCGTTGGCACAGTAAAATTCGAACAAACAAAACGAACCTAGCTTTAGCATTTATTTTATTTGATATGACTGAAAGGGAGTTGTGAAGAATAAATTAAATAAGGTTTCAAAATGGCTTTTGATACGCTGACAAGTATTTCACAAAAATATTTACGCTCTCCAAGAAGTTACTGTTCACTCCAAAAATGATTGATGGATTAGTCCTTCGTATGGATTAGACCTAGAGTGAGGAAATCTAAACGCCTCTCAATAAAATTCTATTAAGATTTCAATTTGTTTCTATTTTTTACTAGAAATTTCATAGAATTATTAATACACCTTCTAAATTATAACAAAAAGAACCTGTTTAGATCCCCTTCACAAAACTTTTATAGTTTTTCAAACAATTATTGTCTTTAAGGGGGAGGCCTATGTTCAGCAGTGGACGTCTTCCGGCTGATGATGATGATGATGATGATGATTGTCTTTGACAGATAAAGGTGTCCCACAAACAAATCAAAGTCTTATTTTCTATTTATTGATTTTGGTTTTACATTTTAAATTAGTTTGGGTCAATATTCTACAGTATAATTTAATAATAAATGGCATAAATATCTGAATTTATTGTAAGCAATATGTTTCAATAGGACGCTATTATACAAATTATTTTTATTGGTTACTCTAATAATTTTCGGTTAATAGTCATTGAGCTTCGGTTCTATAGTGTTAAAATTCTATTATAGAATGTCTGAGCATCACCTCTATAATATATTTTGGTAGAAATTCGATTTATGAATTAAAAACATATATTTCGTTTTTTATTTTTATTAGTTAAAAATAGGTTGAATAAGTTAACTTTCCGATTCAAGCTAAACTGTGGACTGTAGACGACAGACACTGGCCATCATCGGCTTTTGTAAACAGTTTTTATATATAATTTTTAATTTGTATTCTTAACTTTTTTCTTTTGATATGTCACATTATAAACAAATCACTCAATAGATTTTTACAAACCAAGTGTGTGCGTGACTTCAATACTAGACCTCTTGAACACAAACAACAAATGAACATCGCAACAACTAAAAGCTCTGTGGGAAACTCAGTAGTTATATTTGGCTTAAAACTGGCATTGAACAAAGTTGCTGTTGAGGTTCAACATTTCAGGCGGACAGATGCCCCGTTATTATAATGAAAGCGTGAAGGGCGTTGGTATTATTGGAAAGTTGGTGCAAAGCTGTGCACGCGACAGTTTTGTATTGCTTATTGTGTACGGTAATTAAGCAGCTCATATTTATGACACTCACCAACTTTGGACAGGTTTTCTGAATTACACGTAAATTAACATACGTCATATTTAACGTAGCTTATGCAGTTCACTTGCGGATTTAACAGCAATCCTATTTAAGCACTCGAACTTCCCTCTAACTTTTTAGATAACTTCATAAAAAAGTTTGTATTCAATTTGGACGTCCGTTCGACTTGAATTGAAATTCTGAACATATTATCGCCATTTGATTATTTGAAACGTTTTTTGAAATCCTTTTAAAAATATTTTTTACTAATGAATTGATGGGAAAATAGCGTATTAATTAACGAACAATTATAAACTATCTAACTCTAGTTGTCGTTAGGCTAACTTACTTGTGATTTGTTAGAAGAAATTGAGAACTATACATTCCCAAAACAATATAAGATGTTAATATTTAAATTGCTTGTAATTTATTTTTCTTGACTTCTAAATTTGAGAAACTATTCTAAATAACTAACATATTAGATCTCATTTGAAGTAAACGATTTAGTAGCTATGCTGAACCTATATCGATATTATTTAACCTTTGTAGTTTTTTAAAATTTCCAAATGAAATATTCTGGCGACCTCCTCGAAGATAAATCTTTTCAAACCAAAAAAAAAAGGATTTATCACAATCGGCCTACTTTTGACGAAGATATCGTGGAACATAATATATTAAGTGACGTCGATCAGTCGAATTGAAAATTAAAATACATTTTTAATTGAAAACATTTTAGGTTCTTGTCATATTGCGCAATATCCCATCATTTATCTATATCTGTCTCATTGATACTGCACACGTAAGCGGAATGTGATGATTTTAAGCGCTCAGCATTGCGCTTGTATTGTTTCATATGAAATATTCGCTCTGAAGTGTATTGTACACCACCGCGTGTTTCGTGGATTCTTGATGAATCATAATAATTGAGATGAGCCGGTCCTTTGTTATTTTGTTTCTAGCTTTTCATTGGTTTGTTATTGCTTTCGATTCCTATGTTATTAGTTATTTGTCTGGGAATCATCGCAACTTAGGTGTACGATATTGTATTATTATTTGTTTATTATTTATTTTCGCAATGATTCCAAACTCTACATTATTTTAAACCTTGATATTGATATACTTTGTTTCTCGGATATTTGATATATATTACTGAATCTATTGAAAACATGTGTAAAAACAATGGTGTAAAAAGTGAAAATGGTTTTATGCGAAATCTGGATTTTGCCATATCATGTCACTTACTAATTGTTTCCTAAATTTTTTAATTACATTGTTTTTAAAAGTTAATTCCACATGATATGCAGGTGTGGTTAAAGATTTTTGTTATTTCTTATAACGATATATCAGTTTTATTTAATAAAACTTGCGTCTATTATATTATGTCAATATTGTAATATTGAAGATTTTATATTAATAAGATAAGATGTCATAGAAATATCAAAAAATATAAATAGTCATCTAACTTGTAGTAATGTAATCTTGAATCACGATCGAAGAAAAATTTATACCATGCCGATATTGATACCGATTTAGATAAGTGATGTTAACTTTGTAGCAATTAATATTTTACAAATTAATATTTGTCAATCTTATACAACGAGTATTAAATAAAATATTAAAAGAGCATTCTGCATATACACATAGATGCACTTAGATTAAGATAATGTGAGCAATCACGGACACAGCAATAACTAAGTACTGCATATGTCGATAATATTAAATTAGCGGTATTTTAATGAAATAAAGTTGTAGTTCATAATGTGTTTTGAAGTTTTATTTAGTTTTACCTTAAATCTATTTTTAGCTAAATTATTTAAATAAACTTAACAAAAGCTAACGTTATAAAATAAAAACAACTACACCGTTTTCAAGTTTTACCCACTCTCAATAAAAAGTTGGAATCAGAAACGAGTAACTATGAAACAGTGGGCACTTTGCACTTTCAATTGTACCGAACTAATAATTCGTCGATGCACATCCATACCCTGTTGTTGTATAGTTATGCCGACGACATGTGAGGTTGTTTCCCACTGGTTGATCGTGTGAGGTGGACATCCCAAGTATCGCTCCAAGTTGTCGGCGGGCAAACTTTGGAGCGTGGTGCGCCCACCCCATCGATCGAAGAGGCAGCGCGCGCACCCAGCACCCCATATATACGACGTGCGGCCCTCCCGCCACTCACAACCGCAAGAGATCGCGTACGATTCGGCTGCCGCTCGTCCGGGGCGCTCTTTCTACTCTTCTTTCTCTGTTCATCTGTCTTTCATGCCGCGCCGGGGCTGATGCGGGCGCCGCCATGCCGCGCTGCCTCATGGCCAAGAAATGGAAGGCGGGCCCGGCGGCGGAGCTGGCCGATGACTCGGATGAGGAGATCGACGTGGTCGGTGAGGGGCGCGGCCGCAGCCCCGCGCCCGCCGCCACCGCACCCGGCCCGCAGCCGCGCGATCCTGAGCCTACGCTCCTCTACAACGGTAAGTGCCCGACGCGACCTTCATCCCTACCACACCGCACTAATACATATAAATAAATATCAAAACTCACTAGAGCAGATCCCTAAAACACTGGACTAATAAAAAAGTCCTAATACTTCATCGGGTCTAGTAAACTCCCGATCGGCGTAGTCTATTTTATCATTAGCTTAGCGAGTGCCTAGTTATATGCGAATTCGATTAAATTTTGCTATGCGCATGCGAGTTTTATATACATATATATATTTGCAAAAAAAAAATGTAACATTCTCGAAAAAAATCTATAAACGGAATAACTATAAGTATAGCCAAAGTCATTAAAGTTTCACAAAAATACAACAAAGTAAGCTTTTCGTCTAAAATACATCTACGTTAAACAACCCATTATAATAAAAAAACATTTGTTCATTAGAAACTACAAATACAAAAATTAAACCTTAACTGAAACTAACAAATGTTTTTCTGTATACAACTATAATTAGTTGTAAACGTAATCGCTAGGTCATCCGTCGCTGTAGTTGCGTTCTAATATGTCTTCGTGAGAACCTCACATATAAAAATATGCTCAACTTTCACAACAGACTGCAACAACAACAACAACTTACATAAAAAATAAAAATCAGTGGACGCATTCCTATTATCGATATTTTTTCTTTATCGAGTTAAAAACAGTTATAATATACACGTGAGCTTATCTTTTTCATTATATATTTATTTGACTAATGACGATAATAAAATATTAAGAAACAAAACGTTGATTGCAAAAATTTATTCTTCTGTCAGATCGATGCCTTCTTTTTTCACACTCTAAGTATAAAATCTTAAATTGCAAACGTAATTACTATACGACCGACTAGTTTTTTGTCGTTACGTCGTTGACGCTTTTTAATAATAATTAATTAATAATTAATTTCTGTACATATAACTATATTCATTATAAACATCATCCGAAAGATAAAAGCAAATCCTTTTCCATTTTTTACTTCCATAAGTTTCAGAATGTTACTTAACTGTCGTATCAGAAAACTCAAACATTCTGAAGGCAAAAAAGAGAAGCTTTCTAAACAATTTCAAAATGTTCAACTCATTTTGTTTTATGGTTATAATGAAACAATGTAGATTGAGCTGGCGGACGAACTTGTTATCATCATGCATCTATAGATATTGAAGAGAGCAACAGAGCCCGTATCGGGAAATGAAACTAACACTCCTGGGAGATGAGGAAACACGGCGAATCCATTTAGTAGAGTCACGTCAGATCTACTCTGAAACACAGAACACGGTCGGATCAGACGATATTCCTTGTTCGAAATTTTAAAAGCAAACTATGTTTGTTCAGAATTTCAAAGTAAAGACAAATGTTATATTTTCCAATCTGAACTATTTAAATAAACAATTCGATTACAGATAATAAGATTACGTTCTTCTTTTGACATACAAAAATTGTCTAATGACGAAGACGGTTATAGGATTATTGTTTATTAAGTACATATTATCTATGTATGAGTCGAAATAAATCTATTTATCTGAAAAGAAACACGGATACAAAGCATATAACGTTCTAATAGAGATGATGACTGGGTCAAAAAAGAGACATTATATTTATTCCGTCAGTAAAATAATAGAAAATTTTACATAGGTAACTTTTTTTTGCTCCAATTTAACAAGAAAAATGTTATTTTTTAGTCTTACCAGAAATTCGAAAATTTATTCTCCTTAAATTGGCGGTAAATTTTTTTATCACATTTCGCAACCAAGGACGCGTAGGAAAAAAACTAATATACTCGTACATATGCAGTTATAAATTTAGTACCAGGATTAATCTGTTATCCGGCCAAAATAAGTTAACGCCTCTTAATCTGACATTTACTCTTTTGTTATTATCAATTTGCCTGAGGTGGATAGTACTTTGAACCATACTTTGTCCACGTTTTGTAATAAAATGGACAGAATCGCTACATGGAGTGGGTGTTCATACGTATTTACTACTTTAACGAGTTAGTTCAATTCCAGAGATAGAATACTAATTAATAGGTTTAATCTTACCAGACATAATTAAAGAATTTATTAAGGGCTTTAGCAAATGAAGAAAATAAAAGACAAATGTAATATACAACGACCTATCTTTGGTACAACAAAAGGTCTCCATTTATTGTTATAATAAAATTTTATACAGGAGAACTCTAGCTTACACAGACAATAGTTGGACATCAATAGGAGCCAGCAACCTACACAAAACTTGTATAGAGTTTTAACATTACATAAAACCTCAACACTGGCCCTTAAATAAGTCGTATACAAGCTTTGTAAACTTAGGTTTATCTAACGGCTTAGTTAAAATATCCACTAACATTTCATCAGTAGGTTTGTAACACACTATAACATTTTTCTTGTTTACCACCTCCCTGATGAAATGATGCCTAACATCGATGTGTTTGGTCCTTTAATGATGTACAGGATTCAAACACAACTTCTGAGCAGTATGATGATCGTTAAAATTGCGGAAGTAACGCCAAATACTTCTCTCAGAAACGAACGTAAAAATACAGCTTCTTTACATGCGTCACTCAACGCCATGTATTCAGCTTCGGTGCTTGAAAGTGCAACCGTTTGCTGTTTGTGACTTTCCCAATATATAAAGGAATTTCCTAACATAAATAAATTGCCAGTATAAGACCTACGATTTCCTTGATTGGATGCGTAATCAGCGTCACAATAACCTACAAGATCTAATTAAGACTTCTCGTAAGAAAGATAATAATGCGATGTTCCTTACAAATATCGAAGCACTCGCTTAGCTGCCTTGTAGTGCACTTCTCAGTAGCACTCGTTAAATTGACTCAAGAAGCTTTCTGCGTGATAAATGTCCGGTCTCGTACATACTGCAACATACATAAGGCAACCTAGAAGATTTCTATAATCATAAGTTCCTGACTTTAACTCTCCTTTTAAAAGGCAGGTAATAAAGTTTCATTTCATTAAAATTCTATACTGTGACAGCGCTATGCTTGACGTGGAGTTCGACGTTATTTTTATTACACAAAATAGCACTGTTAGAGAAATAGAGTAGTTGACCGAAAACACTGTCACATAACTGTACTAGTGTCACATAAATTACGACAAATGTCCAGTGTGTAAGATTTAATTCAAGAGATGACAAGAATAGCTCTTTACTTAAATTAAGATAAGACTTAATGTTAAACTGTGCAATAGATGCTACATTATCGTATTAATTTCAAAACTTATCCATTTAGGAATTAAGTTGTTACAAAAAAGAAAATAAAAAGAATAAGAACTATTTTAAACACGTACAGATTTAGACTATTTCTGATGTAAGGTATACTGTTAAATATTAAGCAATGTAGGTAATTTTGTTAAGTGTACTTAATATCTCTCTATATTTCATTATGAACTGCAATGCAATTTGGGAATTAATAGTGTGTATCTATTAATATGTACAGAGCGATAAACTCGTTATACTGAGTTATTTTGTTAGAAGCTGTTAATATTTTATGGCAATAGATGTTACTTATATCATTACAGTGTTAAAGTGGGCTGTTTGAGTTTTACTTCTGTTTGTTTATATTCAGTTACTATTTAACATGTTAATAAATAAGAAAAGGTACTAATATAAAATTGTTAATTAATTAATTGTCTATTTATCGCAATTAAGAGCAATTTAGCGATAAATATCATTAATAGGTACTGTTATGAGTACGCGTACGCAATCACATAAATATCAGTGATTTTGTAGAAAGAAATGACGTCCAAATAAACTGTGATAAAAGTGACCAAGCAACCGGCTATTTCTAAGAGTTTCATCAAGTTCAGTACCCGTACATGTAGGTGGTTGATCTCTTTATATCTATATTTTTTTTGGGGTATTAAACTCAATTTTGCATTTTTAACATCGTTCATTACTTCAATCATCAAGCATCATCGACCCGAATTCTACTAACCCTCCACTTCAGTGCCATCGTGGTCATTTTGAGTTAAAATTACAAAGAGTTGCGCTTCTAAAAATTCACATTTATAGAGCGGAAATTTCAGTTTATTTTTTAAACGAGCGATACAAAATTGTAATCGAATGGCTGAGCACGTTGTTTTTAATTTAAAAAAGCTAAAAGAGAATTTTAATGCGCACTTCATAGTTAAAATAAATAGCAGCAAAAGCAGAAAAATAAACGCGAAGTGGAATTTCTCTTCCGCGAAGTAGACACTTGACTATAAATATGTAAGTGAATAAAACTCGTTCTAAATAAAACTTTTAAGAGTTCTCTGTAATAAGCTTAGTCTGTTAATTAAACGTGGAAAATTAATTTTCACTTAGCGTTCTACCGATATACATAGATTTCAATTGAGTAGGAGACAGCGGTGGATAGAGGCATTTACTGTCAGTTGACTATTAAAATAATAATAATGTTCATAATTGACATTTTGATTTTGCACTTGCAGAAGATAATAACAGACAATGAATTGTGATAACACTTGTTTCTCTCACATTAAAACGCGAATAAAAAACTTTTGATTTCTGTGATATTGTCTTACATATTTGCCTAGACAAAAAAATACCGCCCTGAAAACTTTAATTATGCTCCAGCCTCTTTTTTTTTAACTAAAGAGAACTAACTGATCTTAACATTTCCGAAGGCCGAAGAAACGGGCTCTCCGAGGGTCGCCGGTCCAGTGAAGTTGGCTTACCCGACAAAACCCTCCGTATTACCCTCTGTCGTGGTCTGGGCCCTGGTATCTGGCAAAGAATTAGGCTCCAGCCTACCAGCCTAGCAAATCCGCTACTGGCAAGAAATATTTGAATTGTATTTATACACAATGAAATAAGTACATAAAATTAAACCGTTTTATGATCATATGATCATAAAACGGTTTAATTTTATGTAATTTTATATACTGTTTTTATCTGTTTACGATAACGTGTATCCGGGTGCAACAGGCAATGTTTATAGAAGCAACTATAGATATATAAAGACAGTATGATACAAAGCCTAATCGACGAGAACTCGATGCACTAGAAACTATTAATTTATTTTAAAATAGAACA